GTCTCGGGCAACATGCAGTCGAGGAGCACGACTCAGGCGGGCAGGCTATGCAGAGGTGGTCTCAGGCAACATGTAGCCGAGGAGCACGACTCAGGCGGGCTGGCCGCGCAGAGGTGGTCTCGGGTAACATGCAGTCGAGGATGGCATTGTAAGCGGTGGGGAGGTCCACCACTAAAAAGGTAGACATCACCGTCTTGGATCTTGGCAGCATTCCCAAAGTCAGGGGCAAAGTGACCGCTCCCAGCAGTGAAATCGAGTCGCCGGTGAACCCTGTGAGCGCCAAGCACATAGGTTCCAAGGCTTCTTTAGCTAATCCGAGCTTCTAAAAAGCGTCCAGATAGAGCACGTTGGCTGAGCTCCCTGTGTCGATCATGACCCTCTTCACCTAGGCGTTAGCTATCCTAGCCGTTATTACAAGTGCATAGTCATGCTCCGATCGCTCAGCACCCTCGGGGGGGAACGCGACCTTGGGATCAAGGCCGCATCTGGGAGGATCGGTATCAACGGAGCGAGCGTATGCCTTCCTTTCGGATATACTGTTTCCTCCGGATGCTGGGCCGCCCGTGATGACGTCGATTTGGTGCTCAACGGGGCCCTCCGGATGGGGCAAAAGTTCCCTACTCTGTCGGATGCACCAACTGAGGTGTCCTCTATGGAGAGCTCCTCGATTTGCCGCTTCAGCTCGCTGCACTCCTCAATATCGTGCCCGCTTTGCCGATGGAAACGACAATACTTCAACTGGTCAGCGAGTTCCCGTGGGCTTTTCATTGGGTTGGGGGCCCAGAGTAGCCCCTTCTCCCTTATTCGGAGAAATATCTACATTCAGGATGCGCCCAAAGGGGGTAACGGGGACCTCAACGCCGGCGGGTCAGGTCGGTCCGACCTACGCCTCAGCGTGGCGGACTGTTATCCCCGGACTGGCTCTGGCCTGACCCTCTTGTGCTCCCCCCGCTTCCCGACCATCCAAGCCTCGACCGCGATGAACTGGTTTGCCCGTTGAAGCATCTCAAGTACCGCGGTAGGGGGTCGCTCCACGAGGAACCAGAAGAATATGGAAGGTTGCAAGCTTATCATAAACGCCTGCATTAACAGAGAGGGATGAGCGTCGGGTAATCCCCGGATTTGTGTTGCAAAATGATTCACAAAATGGGAGAGGGGCTCGTCCTCCCTCTAGTTGAGTCCGAGGAGCAGTGCAACGGAAGGTTTCGGCCGGGCGTAGGCCAGGAAGTTAAGTTCGAAGTCCTTGACGAGCTGGTCAAAGGAGGCGATCGTCCCGGTCTTCATGCCGCTGTACCACGTGCGGGCCGGCCCTCTCAAAGTTGTGGGAAACGCCCTGCACATCAAAGCATTAGAGGTTCCATACAACGCCATTTGGGCACGAAAAGTGACGGCATGGTCCGCTGGGTCGGTGGAGCCGTCGTATGCGTCCAGAGAGGGGAGTCGGAAGTTCGGGGGGACTGTCTGATCCTATATCTCGGGCGTGAATGGAGACCCCTGGTGGGCATCCTCACCGAGCTCTCCCCTTGACCTACGAACATCCTGCCGCACCTCGTCGAGCCGCTGACTAACAAAACGTAACTGGGCTCGCAGGGAATTCGCCGAATCCGAAGATAACGCCTCGGGTTCCGGGCGGCCTCTCGGGTTTGCAGTCACTCAATCCCCGAGTGGGACCGATCGGACCCAAGGTGAAGTGGGGAGCTCCTGCGGGGGCGTGCGAGCTCGAACGGGCAGCTCCTGTTGCTGCAGCGACTGGATCGCAGGTGGGTGCGGCGGACGAGAAACGAGTGGGATAATAGACTGCACCATACCGGTCAGAATTCGGACTTGATGAGAGAAGTCCTGAAAGGCCTCGGATGACACGGGCGACGGGTCGGTAGGGGCGTCGTCGGGTGGCGACAAGCCCGGGTTGTTGAATATCCGTCAATAGCACTCTAAGGTCGCGACAGGGCGTTCGTCTCGAGGTTCTCCATGCGGGGGGTGTTCCCCCGGAGCTCCGATCGGGGGAGGCCCCTTAGCTGCAGGTTCATCTGAGTCGATTAGGCGATCCCTCGACATTCGGGCCCTCCTTCTAGCGTTAAAATGTTGGTGTAAACAACTTTAAGCCGTGGCCTCGGGGTCGACACGGCTTGGTTCTGGTCCGAATGATGCGGATCTTCCTGGGACGACCCTTGAGACTGCTGAGATGGTCGACTGCAATGGTCCGATCTCAAAGGGGTCACCGTTTCCTCCGAGAGGGGGCTCCTCGCCTGGGCGTTTAGTGGGAGGCCTCCGTTTTCGCACCTGCACACAGGTCGGGTCGGGAGAGCTCAGCCCAACCCCTCCGATGATCTAGTTAGTGAATAGTCACAGGGAGTTTTCTTGTTGTCCTCCTTTCTTCTTCGGTGCGCAAGGGTTTTTATAGTGAAGATTATCGTTGCCTGATGTGCCCGCTTGCAAGGAGCAGGATTGTACTCTTTGTAACATCTGACATCGACGATGACGTGGCGTGAAATATCGAGCCTGAGCAGGATGTTAATGTGTCTTGGTTGGCGTTCCGGTCCGTGTTGACCAGGTGCTGTCAGGTTAACAGAGACGTGAGGCGTCATCTGAGGCAACTGACGTCAATCCGAGTCTTATCGCCATCATTACCCTCATCAGCCACCTCGATCGTTAAGTCGCTAGAAGCAGAGCTTGACTCCGACGCATCGTCCTCAAGGAATAACGCGCCCGAATCATCCGTTGGCGCTGGTATCGGCAGAACCACCTGAATAGGCGGCGGTGGCGGGGCAGCCTCCACGGCGGTGCGGCAAAGGGGACAGGTGGAGTGGGAGTGGAACCACATGTCTACGCACTCCATGTGAAAGCAGTGGCCGCACCGCGGAAGGGCTCGCATCTTCTCCCCTTCCTCCAACTCGTTGAGACACACCGCGCACTCCACCACATCCTCGTCGCACCCCGGTGCGGCGGCGGCGAAGACGAGAACGGGGAGGGACTCGAGGACGCTAGGGTGGAGGCCGCGACAGGTGGCAGATGCGGAGGCGAGGGTGCCGCCCACGCCGTCGATGCCGAAGACGAGGCGGCGATGGCCGCGACGGATGATGCGGAAGCGCCAGCGGAGGTAGAGGTAAAGGAAGACGAAGAGGAGGACGGCGGCGAAGAGGATGACGGTGGAGGCGAGCATAACCTTGCCGCTGAGGGCGTAGCAGCGGGGGTTAGGGGTCAGGTCACCGCCGTGATTCACATCCATAGCCGCAGGGAGAGGCGAGTCTGACAAACCGGCCACTTATCCCGTCTTTTTTTACTGACACGCGTCCGCTGCAGGAGGAATCGTAGGGATTTGGCTTGTTCGCGGATACTTAGGACCAATTTGACGGAAATAGCCCTTTATGTTTAGCGGGTAAGTCTGGTATAAAAGGGGGTTGTTTGGGGAATGCCTGCGGTTTCTAAGTACCTGAAGTTTAATTAGGCTAAGTGGAGTAGTATAAATAAATATGCTTCCAACCAATCAATATACAACATTGTTGACACGCACGATATACTAAGTGGAAGGTCATGCAAACTCCCTTCTCTTGGTCTTGTCATCTTTCATCCTGTGAATGCTCTCCATCAGCACCCTCTTGTTCTTGAAGACATTACCCTTCGCTTTCATGTACATATGATGATACAGATACTTATCGATCTTGTTGGATTCCCTGTACCTGCGCAATAAACGCCGTAGCACACGCGTTCTCCTCGTCCACAGCACCTTAGCCGGGAGCCGAGCCTCCGTTGTACCCCTTCGCTTACCTGCGCCACATATAATTGGAATAGATCGATACATGATGATCTAAAGATGAAACCTAACCATCTCAAGCGCGGAGTCTATGTACCATATCCGGAGTGTCTTCCCTTCCGCTTGGCTTCCAGCGCTCGCCGTGCTCGAGACCGTGAGTGAGTCTTTGTAGGTTTCCTTACCGCTAATCCGTCCTTCACTAACCTTCTTATGCTTTCCCCTGCAAGTTAACACTTGGCGATGATGATGATAATAATAATAATAATGATGATGATGATGCGAGAGAGAGAAAAGATTGGCAGCTCACTAGAGTTGGCGACGGCGATGTGGTTCACCTCATGGGGGTCGAGCCACACCTTGTGGCGGCCGCAACGGAGGACGCTCGCGGCGAGCCGCTTCTGCAGCTTTAGCGACACCATGTCGCTTCTCCGCTGAAACAAGACGTGAGGTTGATGGGAAGCGGAGGGTCTTCTTCTTATATGCATGGAGATGAAGGAAGGTTCAAGTGGTTTTCTTTCCTTGGCGCCCAAGCTTAGATCAAGCTTTCACCGGTCCCATTCTTTTTGTATTCTCAGGTCAATTTCTCTATGGGAAGAATCCTCGAGAAGTCCAACGTCGCTGCTGGCGCAAGTAATCGAGCTAACCAATCAGGGGAGGGGGACTGCGTGATTCAAGTAATTGGTAGACCATACAACTCCCGCAAGCAATGATCGAAGCCAGACGTCATCCATTAAGCTGCCATTGGTGCAGAAGTCATCGTTTCTTGCTTCCAATGGTCGATTACGGTGGCGGATTTGAAATGCCTATGACATGAAACAAAATCTATAAAATAGAGGATGCTAAATCTCACATAAACTAAAAATTTGAATATCGTTTAAGGATGCAAATCAACATAATATCATACGTACCATAAGAAAATGTACGATGTCCTAACATGGGTGTCGCCGGATGGGAGAGCAAAGCCTAACTAGTGTTACACAGGGGTGGCTTAGTTCATTGCTCCTTCCTGCGAGTCTTAAGTGATGACGACGTCGTCGTAGTAGTGCTGAGCCACGGTGGCCAATGCTCCTCTTGAACCGATGTGGGGGTGGGATCATGTGAATCTAAATCTGAAAAAGGCATCGACGAGAACCACTCTAATATTATAAAAGATTTTTTTAAAAAAGAATTTAAGTAAAAAATAATTTAAAAAATTATCAATTAATTGGTCTATAAACTCTAATGCATATATGCTTGATTTGTCTTCTTACTTAAATATTAGTTTAATTTTTAATATGAAGGATTTAACTCTATATTATAATACTTTTGACTCTCGTTCTTCATCAATTGGTGTTGTTGCATGTGATGACAACAACATTTCTCCCTAACACATGGATGGTTTCGAGGTCATTCTTGATGTTCTCGCCTAATTATATTTGCTACTAGTATTATTCAACACTTTCTTATTAAATGATGTGATCGTTCATATTTCAATATCACTTGGATTACTTTAAATGAATTTTATGACTTTACATTATATTTACTGGATCAGTACATTACATGTCACTCTTTAGGATCGAGTGTTTTTTTCCACCGAATGAGAATGATAGAAAACTATCTAACTTTACAAATGATTTTTTCTAAAATATTTTAAATAAAATTTATTCATTAATTGGTTTGAAAATTCTTAGAGTTGTATTAAAAATAATAAAAAAAATCATCTTTGGAGAGACTCCCTTTTATAATAAGTATACTCATTTACTATTTATTTAGATATTTTAGAAATCATATTTTAAATTTTTATTAAATTATTTTTAAGAATTATTATCTTTATTAATTGTAACACTTAAAATATAAATAGTAAATTCCATTAACGAATCAAATATTTTTTATTTAAATAAAATATATATATTCTCTCACCTCTTTTTTTCTCTAATTTTATACGATAAGATCATTTAGTCGCACATTGGCAAGCTTCTTAAATAACCGGGTCGGGTCAGTCTTGAGCTGTTCCCTTGGCTCATCTTGCCGGGATGAAAGGCGACCGGCCAATGATCCTTTTGAGACGGTCGTTTGTGCCGACGCCCTGCGAAAGCGAACGCATGCAGCCACCGCCGCCCTACTCTTAGTGGGGTCTCGTGCGCCAATTTTGGGAAGGGCCCGCCTCCCCACGGTGTGGCCTCTACCCTCGCTACCTCCCAACGTCAATCGTATTCAAGTGTTTGGTGCTTTTGTGTTTTTGCACTATTATTGTTGGGTCCCAATACATATATTCCTCACCAAATGTTTATATGACTGACTACTAACAGAAGGGAAACTAAACGTAATTTGCAAAAATAAATTGATTATTTATTTATTAGTATTTCGAAATTTTAGAAAAAAATAAGTTGTGATCAAAGGCCGAAAATTTTGAATAATAAATTGAAGTGTGATTTTCTATTAAACTAAATTGGATTAGTTGGATTCAATCTATTGTTTTTTTTTATCCTTCTTTATCAATCCTATGTAAATTGACTAATAAATCGATTAGTCGTGGCCCCACCCCTGTATACTTGTCTCATACGAATACATATTCTATGTTAAATTCAAAGCATAGATATGTAAAGCCCTCTCGATTTAAATGCCTGGGCACTTTTGGTCTATGAAGTCGGGTGTGCTTACAAGGTTTGCCTTCTATAGCTTATTAAGTAATAAAATATTATAATTGATAGAGCATATCGTGGATCTCGTCACGTCTCCAACCATGTTAGCACAAACACAAAACCTAGGAACAAAGATAGGGTGTCATGTCGGACATGCTATCACGGATTCGTGACGACGGTCGCCCCCCCCCCCTCCTATGCTATCCAGAGCCACATGAACCAAAATCGTCCTAACAATGGTCGTTCCGGAAAGCTCGGGCAAGGTATCACGTGGTGTTGTTCTGCACATATCAAGCAACAATCGTTCGAAGGTACGAACTCATCACCCGATGAGTCAGTTGCTGCATACAGATCGCGTACGATCAACCCTCAGACATCAGAATAAAAGCCCTCAGCTAGCATATGGCAACGGGGCGAAAAACTTTCTACAAAAGTTTGACTTACTTGATTTTTGAAGGGGTCTAAGTGGGAAACCCCTCCCCTCTCAGCTTAGACCAATGTGCAGGAACCTGATGATAACGAAGCAGAACATACTCACTAAAGAGGTGCATCTAGATCAACCCCAAGCTTAATCGATTCCTGACGAAGGCTCAATCACAAGGAAAATCTTAAACATCGACAATCGAACCCAGCTATGCTGACACATTTATGGGAAGAGGTTCACTACCAATAATGATGAGAAATAATCATGAAAGTTGAGGGAAACCCTAAGAATCAATGCACAGAGAGAACAATCCATCACACTCTTCCCTTAAATGTGTCACAACCTCACTCGGAGCCTCAATTAATGTGCAATTAGTGGACGAAAGAGATGGGTGGTATTTGCGGCACGAAGATTAAAGAAACCGACGCAGCGGCTCACCTGATGACGCCACGTCTTCGTCGCAACGGTAACCCCCATCTCTCTCTCTCGCTCGCTCTCTCCCTCTTTATTCCCACCAAACTCGCTCGCCTTCCGAACTCTCTCCCTCAAACTTCGCATCCTTTCCTTGACAAACCCCAACCCTCGCTGTGTAATTTGCATTAGCAGTACTGCTCGTCTGTGCAAGGCGGAACAACGAGTGGCATGCCACGGTCTTGACCGATCCAAAGGCTCCGGCAACCATCTCCGTAGATCCTCTTCTCTCGGATCCATGGCGAGGCAACCGAGGGAGGAAACGGACTCCAAAGCACAGCTGGTGAGGGAGATCTGCTCCACCGGATCCATGTTCGCCGCCTGCACGCACCGCCGAAGGCCACCCGCATTCGTCGACTGGTATCTCGTTCTCGGAGTACGTTGATCTTTCTTTGGTTTGGTGTGCCGTGTTCTACCGACGGGGAGGAGTGGTCGGGTTCTATTGAGATCTGTGTGCCGGAGTGCAGGTCGATGAGGAGGAGAAGGTGGACGCCATCCGCAAGCGCTACCGTCAACTTGGTAGGGCACGAGACTTGGCTCGAGCACTGTGTTTGATTTGTGTCCGCATGCTTTGCTCTTCTGGAAACGATAACGTGTTCACTGACTTTTGTCTCCTCGGTGGCGATGATTTTGTTGCAGCACTGCAGCTTCATCCCGACAAAAATAAGCATCCCAAGGCCGACGTTGCATTCAAGCTTGTGTCAGAGGTACCCATCGGAAATAGAACAAACCATGGTTAAACATTACATTCCGGCCATTTATTTCCTTCCCACAACATTTTTCTTGGCAAATATCAAGAAATTATACACGTTTTTCCAGTGTTCATGTCAGAAATATAACCCCTCCCCTTCCCACCTCTCTGCAACTGCAACAGCAGCTGCAGAAGAAGGCTCCGACTTGGAAGGAATCATATGAAACTGTCACTTTTGTGTTATAGTTCATTCAATTCAAGCATTTTGCACACACACTTCTTTTCATTAAAAGCATCAAAAACTGAGATTGTTCTTTTTGTCTCCTTGCCTCCTAGTCAATGAAGTCCATGATGCCAACCTCAATCATATCATCCTGCGTGCCTCTTTTGCACTTTAAACATGCATCATCCTGCCATTTAGGTTATCCACTCTTAGTGTCGTAATCAAATCAAGTCAGCTATGGCACAAAACTTGGTTAAGGACAAACAGAGTCAAAAAGTTTGGGCATTGTCCTTTCTCGAGTCTCAATGGAGCACACAAAACTATATGCATTTGCAGATGCACATAACATAAAGCACTTGCATTTGCCCTTTCTCGAGCCTCAATGGAGCGCACAAACTATTTGCTGCAGGCATATGAATGTCTTTCTGACAAAGCCAAAAGGAATGCCTTCAATTCCCAGAGGTGGAGCAACTTGTGCAAGGAATGCTACAGGAGATCTCGGAGCAAGGAGCATGTTCACAGGCAGAGATGCTGGCAGTCCACAGGACAAGCAAGTTCATATAAAGTGATGAACAACTTGAGACAGATGCAGAAGAGATTTAGAGAGGAATGTGAAGTGATAGAGAGTTGCATGAGAGCCAACCAATCATACTGGAAAGAGTCCCCAGTCTTCAGTCCATATGAACAACTGCTGTCATCCCCGGGCTATCCTCACTCCAGAGGAGCCACCCTGGAGAAGCCAATGAGCAGCAGCCATTGGCAAGCTCGAGACCAGTGTGGCAGAGGTGCAGGCTGTGAGTCCCCCATTTATGAGATCAGGAAACACAACTATCCAAGGAGTAGGAGCTTCTGCTTTAGGTTCTGATGCAGCTTTGTCTGCATACTCTGTCCCTCGAAGCTCCTGCCATGTTTATTCTTTGCATTTTTATGATGTACTGGTATTTCTTCATGATGGACTGGCTGCTTAGTGTCACCTATTTAACATAAGCATGATATGAAAAGTCCTTGTTGCAGTTCAGGTGTAGGTGTAGAGGATCACACTAGAAAATTAGCTGCTTGTGCGTTACTTTGATCTGGAGCTATCTATGATGGTAGTCAAACCTCCAAATCTGTCAGCAACTCAGTTCTGAAAGGGATTTTGCCTGAGGACAACAAAACTTCTCCCACTGGCATCATGCTTTTATATCATGTTGGCCTGCAGGAGACTTTTCAAACTGAAGATGACATTTGTTGTTGCAATCTGGATTCCTTTCCATGAAGGATGTAAAATTGACACAGTCAATGAGAAACAATATTCTTCAACCTAACTTCGGCGATTTTGAACACAATTGATTATTACCTTTGCTGGGCATGCCAAAAAAAAGGGGATGATAATACTGGGGCCAAAAAATAACATCTGAGCACCATAAGGGAGAATTAGCAGATGGAAATTGTAAAGCTCTTTTGGTGGCAAAATGTAGTAGTCACACATGGCTATAACTATGATGCAGAAGAAGCTAAATACAGATACAACATGATGCAGAAGAGAGAGAGAGAGAGAGAGAGAGAGAGAGAGAGAGAGAGAGAGAGCACAAATTAGGACAGGACACAGTACAAAGTTGTTTCTCAGTGTCTCAGTAGCAGACTAGTCCAACAGGTTCTTAAACAGGGCTGCTTGAAACCTTGATTAAGAGAATCCACCCAAATGTATCTTCAAGGAAATTACCACAAAGTTAAAACTAAATCCAAGAACTTTAACCGGACAATGTATGAAACAAATTCTCCGGTATTCAAAGGCTACAAGTCTAAAGATATATCGTTTTATGATTGACACGAAGAAAGTTCTGCAAGTATAATCTTTTATAGAATAGGACAATGAAAACATAAAACTTCCTACAAGTTCTTTACATGATCCAAGTTTGAATCAATAAAAAAACTAAGCATTTTTTTTGTTTGCAAACATATCAATATCTAAACTAGAAGATAGATATTGCATATCCCAGAAGCTAAGGTTAATTCTCAAGGAATGACAGCTTCCGCCTTTGCCCGCCAAAAGCATAACCATGTTTTGAACAGAAAGTACGACTAGTAGAGGATCTAGCAGAAGAAACTATTAAGAACATGCAGTCCAAGTTCTTCAGACCATCACAAAATAAAGATTTGTTGACTTGCAATCAAGTTTGGCAGTCACTAAAAGTAGCCGAAAGAAACTGTTAAGTGTAGATAATATCAAGTAACATGAAATATCATAACATACTACCATCCGAGCAAAGAATCAAATGGAAGAGTATCATCATCATATACCTAGAGGAACCTAGCTGAAGGTAGAATAAATAAGATATCCAAAAGTTTAAGTGCATCAAAATTGGAGTTACATGACAACAGCATAATAAGCTCCTACAATTCTCATAGGGTAGCAAGTGCAGCAGAGATCTTACAGTTGATGATTACTATAAAAAACCATCACCAAGAAGCAAAGTTTAGTATGATAAAACAATAAAAAGAAAGCTTCCCACAAGTTCACTGTAATATCCAATTTCAGATTACTTGAGAAAAATGAGTTTTTCTCCCATTTGCATACACTTTAATATTGTCTTAGCAATCTAACCAAAACCTTGAGAAGTCCAAAACATGTAGAGCCCTAATGTCAGAATCATGAACAGGTGATACCTCATATTTTCACCTACCTAAAAAATCGAACTTGTCTCGTATAGAACGCTAACAAAACAAGTTGGGGCTGACAAAATCATGGGTAATGGGAATTAGGATCTATTAGAAAAAAAATGAAATGCCCTTCCTTTGCAATTTGAACAAACATTATACAAAATTCAGTCGGACACGACTAGCATTAAAGCATTTATAAACACTTAAAAATCATTACTTTCAAGACAAAATAATAATTAATCTTTTTATAACATCTAGCCCACTTTGCAAGGCCTTAAACATAATCACGAAGTAACAAGCAATTCATGAGAGTAATAAAATTGGATCACCCACCCAATTCCTATTGCAAGCATTACTCATAAATTTGTCTGAAAATAAATATAGAGATGAAAATGATCAAATTATGAATATATATTCGGAAAATAACCCAAATTTCCCCTGACAATTACGTTGCAATCTTACCTAGATATAGAAAGACAGGAAGAGATGCAGTCAATGTGCAGCATCGATGACCTTGGTGGCCTTGAACACTGGATGGAGCAACCCGAGCTCGTCCTTCACATCGAGAGGGTTGCTGGTCTCATTCCTTATCCTCTTCACCCTCCGGCTAGCTAGTGATTTGTGGGTGAACCCGTATATCTGCAAGATCTGATTGTCCCCAAAGTTAAAGGCGCGGTCCATCTGCTTTAGGCACCGTTCCACCGGGTAGTCCCCAAACTTCCCGCAGGGCTTGCAGCCAACGAAGTGGGTGACGAGGGGCCATCGGTGATCCCCCAGCCCCGGGTGGTGGTTCTCGATCATCTCCTCGTAGCGATCGACGAGGATTCCCCAGTAGCCGTGGAGGTAGTAGGCGCTCTCGAGGTAAACCTTGTCGCCCCACTGGTCGCGCCGGGTCGCGAGGAGGTAGACCATGGCGGATTGGTCGTCAGCCTCGAAGACGGGGCGGTCCTTGAGGAAGGCGGTGAGTACCTTGCCTGCCTCGGTGCGGGTCTTGCCCTTGGGGCCCATCGGCGCCCAGGCGTCGAGGAGGTCGAGCGACCACTGGCAGTTGCGGAGGAGGAAGCTGCCGGTGTTGAGGCCGATCCAGTTGTGGTCGTCGTACACCATCTCGTTCCATCCGTGCATGACCAGGTTGTAGGGGGCGTAGCGCTCCCAGGGTAGCTCGAAGGCCATGTCGGTGAACATGGCGTCGCTGTCCATCCACCACAAGAACTCCACCTCCGGGTGCGCGAGCAGAAGGGATCGGATCAGAGGCAGCTTGGCCCAGAATCCAGCCATCTCGGCGTCGAGCAGGGCCATATTGTAGAAGATCTCAATGCCGTGGACGCGGCAGTAGTCGATCTTGTTCTTGATGGACTTGAGGAGATAGTGGTCGCCCACGGGGTTCTCACAGGGCTTGGGGGAGGAGCCCGTCACCAGGAGCACCCGGGGCTTGTTTGGCCCGAGGAAGCTGGGCCGCTCGGGATGCCGGCGGAGCCAGTCGGCTCGCTGCTCGTCCCAGTCGGAGATCTTGGGGCCCAACGAGTAGGGTTGCGAGGGGTCGCGAGGGGGGTCCTCCTCGCTGTCATCCAGAGAATTGGAGGAGGAGATGGTGGTCTCGACGAGGGGGCGGCGTAGGCGGAGGCGGATCTGGTTTAAGTCCTGCTCGGGAGTGCCGAACCGGCCGGCGCCGACGGTGCCGCGGAGGACGAGGACAGTGAGGGCGAGGCAGAGGAGGGTGAGCTTGGCGCTGCGGAGCGCCCGCCGGAGATGCCAGACGCGGCGCTCACCGACACACCGCCCCAGCCACATCGCTGTTTCGTTGGCTTCTCCTTAACGCGCTGGATCTGATCCCCTTAATACATGGTAAGAAAACACGTCTGGGTTTTGGGTCTGAGTGTTGAGATAGTGGGAAGGATGTCCAACGGAAGAGGAGGGGACGCAGTCAGAGTATTATATATTTAAAGAGGCATATCTCAGGAGGAAGGGGAATGCACGGGGAAGATGCAACGAAGGGGAGAGTGTGCCGGTGGTTGCTCCTTTTGGGTTGGCGTTCTTCTAACACGGTAAGTAGGTGGATTATATGTCCCACATACGAAGACAACGGTAACTCTTACCTTCTTCCTGCTGTTAGACGTAATTCTTCCTTGAATTAAGGGGCACGCACATGGACATGCACATGTCGATGAATACGTGAAGGCACAGCTCGATTGTCTTATTTGACGGGAAATTAATTGTGGGCGATGGTCGTCTTACTCAATTAGTTTGGGCAAAATGACACCACGTCACCGGCACTGAATCGACCCTGGAAAAACGTGTGGGGCATGATGATGTGGTCTGTGGTTACTGGTCTCAAGTGTGGGAGCCACATGCATATGGCCCCACTCATTAGTCGCGAGAGTTGTTTGCAGACGTAACGTACCTGTAACGTGTGTCATGTATGCGACTCGGGTATTTGAAGTCGTGCACTAGGTTGGGTCAATCCAACTAGCGGTGAGGCAATTCACAGAAGGATCAGTGTCGTCTAAATCCAAAATGAAATGACCCGAACCTGAATCGAATCGCTCTTGTTGGTTTTAGTTCGGTTTAGGTTCCAGAGCGAAACAAAACCGGGCGGACTTGAATTGAAGAGCCATATCTTCACCTAAAAACCAATTCCGGTCCGGTTCGAATTTGCCGCTTTCATAAGCTGGTCTAAAATCGATTCGCCTCTCATCCGTCGGATTTGGCGGGAAAATAGACGTCGCTTCCCGCCATTTTTCAACACCTTCTTCATTCGATGTAATTATTTTTATTTTTATTTTTAAGGTAAAAACAAAATGCTATGGACACCTACGAGAATTGTTTGCAATACGCTAATCAACCTTAAAAGTGAAATATTTGGGTGTTATGTTAGGATTCTTGTGCGTCGAGAGCATTCCTCGCTCGTTTCTCTTTCCTCCGTTCCATTCAAGAAGGGGAAAGGGGAACACCGCAATCTTCGTCTCCTACCAACGCTTCGGTGTTGCTTCGCCGCCTGTTGGCCGCCGATCAACCGAATCTGACCTATAGGTTTCCTCTCTGTCCTTTCTCGCCCGATCCATCTCTCTCTCGTTCGCTCGCTCGCGCTCTGTCCCTCCTCTCTCTCTCTCCCTCGCCCTCCGGCCGGAGGATCATACACGAAGTGGGTGGAAACTGATAGGAGCCCAACACATCTTTCCCTTGTTACCTCCGCCGCCCCCAGCCGAGCCACCCCAACAGATCGCCTCCCCCTCCTCTTCCCCTCTGCTGTCGCTCTCCCTCTTCTCCTCCTCCGCCCCCGCCCCTTGCCGGGTCTCCTCGACAGCTCCTTTCCCCGTCGCGGCTCTCTGCTTCTTCCCAGCAGAACTGCCGCCCCTCGCGAGCCTTTCTGATAGCTCCCAACCCCTCCCCTCTCTCTCTCTCTCTCTCTCCGACCTCGCTTCTTCTCCCATCGTTCAGCAGCCTCCCCTTCTCTACTTCTGTTCTCCCCCCGACAGCCCCCATCCGGCCTCCTTTGAATTTAATAGTAATTTTTAATTCTTGTTCGTAATGGTTAACTTTTTGTTAATACTAGTTCTTGAATGGTTTAAAAGACAGAATTTGTCATTGCTAGTATTTTCAATTGTCACTGCGTTATATACGATTTAATTAATGTAATTTGATATCTTAATGGTAATATTTTGAATATGAGATGATACGAAACTCTTATATTGTCTATTTTTTTTCATAATTATCTTTCGTCTTAATTTTATTTTTATAATGCTTATATTGACGAGCAAAGGGTTAATTATATATTACTCCATGTAGTTAATTACCTTCGGCATCTTGGTTCCTACATTTTAAAAAGTTATATTAACATTTCTATAATTACTAAAGTGAAACATTTATATTCATTTATTACAACGTGGTTGATTTTACCAATAGAAACATGAAAAAAAAAGAAGAAGATAATTTTAATATTTTAGTCTATGGAAGCGATGTTGGGGGCGCAAGTAGTTGTTGTGGATGAGAAGAGCGGTGATGGGAGATGAGGGTTGCTTTGCGTCGACGTTGATGTTGATGTAGTTGTCGAGTGATCTTTTTGTCGCTCTACATCTGTGTTGGGGTAATACAGTTATTGAGCGACGAAAGGGTTGCTTGACATCTACATTAGTGTCGCTGGATGCAGAACAATGTCACTCGACAATTACGTCGATATCGTTTTGCATCTACGTCGGTGTCGATGTAATTGTTGAGTGGCAAAAGAGTCGTCGATACAGATGTCGAGTAGCATCGCTTTGTATTTGCATTAGTGTCAATGTAATTATCGAGTGGCGCTTCTCAGCATCTGCATTGGCGAACCTTTCATTGCTTGGCAATTGCATTGATGTTGATGTAGATGCAGAGCGATAAAAGGGTCGCTTGACAATTGCGTCAGCGTTGATGCAGATGCAGAGCAACCCTCACTTCTCATCACTCTCCTCATCTACAATAGACACCTGTGACTCCTAGTGGCATCGTAGTCCACCACCATTGATGTCATCCGTCATTATTAATTAAAACTTTAAAATTATTTTTTTGTCCTTTTTTTTTCATGTTTCCATTGGTTAAATCAACGATGTTACGATAAATGGACATAAATATTTTACTTTTGTAATTATATGTATGACAATATAATTTTCTAAAGTGTAGGGATTAGGATATTAAAGGTAGTTAACTACAGGGGATAATCTGTAATTTGCTCACGAGCAAATGTGTATGTGCCTAGGCAAGCATCTAGTACCTTAAGCATTTTGGAACCTTAGAGTCTTTTAGCCCCTAGTGCCTAGACAACACTGAAAATTAGAGATAAAAGCTTCATATCAACATAACAATGCATTTGGTGAACAGAAAACACTTTCTATTTCTCAATCTGAACATGTTGAATTATTTGCTTGGGTTGAATTTTTTTTGCTATTATTGATTCATTGTTGTTTGTCTTTCTTTTTTGTTCTAGTTTGTATCCAAGGATCATGACTAAAGAAGAAACTTCTGCTGAAAGAGATGACATGCAAATTGATGGACGTGAGTTCGAGCACCTGCAAGTTAGCACAATTCCCGGAGGATTTAGTGCTGACTATCTCAAACTATATTATGGTAAGGACCTTTTCGTAGGTGGATTTTTTTGTTAACATGATTTCACACTTCTAACTTTTATTAATATAGACTTTTATTAATATAGAAAGGAAATTGATGTAGAATGTTCTTAGAGTTGTTCTATGATTCATTCTTATTTTTTATCATTTTGAGAATTCTTGTGCGTCTTGGTCACAGTATGGTTTGTCATGTACACAAGCCAAACTGCATGGACTTCCTAAATTAGGTTTGTCCTGTTTCAATTAGGTCATGCCTTCACTTGATATAGTTTTTACTAGATTATCTTTCTCATTCACCTTGTTAGGCATAAGTTTTTGGAAGATAATGTGCTTAGTTTGTTTGGTGGCAGGAAAGCTCTTTCCACATGCTGATATTTATAGATGGCTCTCCTATGGAAATGGTAGGTCATATTAGCTATCAAAAATTTATGTGAAGATATGGTCTTCCTACTCATTCTTGTTTAACTATGTCGCATGACCTCTTTGCAGATGGAAAGCATCCTGCGTGTGACCATTCCTACTTTGGTCGAAGAGAATTTTCATTCACTTTAGAAAATGATATATATGTACGCTTCCAGTCATTTAATAATGCAGTTGACATGGAGAATTCTATCCGGGAGAAGTGTCCTTATAAGATTGATATTGGACCTGTTTACAGTGTGGATGTATGAACCAAACTCTTGAGCTTCAGACATATAGTTTTGAGATTGCTTTTATCTTTTGCTTCTTGACTATTTTCTTACTGTTATGACATATTTTGCCACAGCCTGCAAAAAGGCATGCATATGCACAATCTGGAAATAATGTGTTTGCACCAGTGGAAAGGGAGCTTATATTTGACATTGTAAGTTCAAATGTTTAAGGCATCTGAAACTTTTAAATATCTGCTACATTACTGGACCAGCTATTTGATATGCCACATTCCAAACAGGACATGTCAGACTATGATGATGTTCGGTATTGTTGCTCTGGGGCTGATGTTTGCTTGAATTGCTGGCCTTTAATGACTATTTCTATGAAGGTTTTAGACACTGCACTTAGAGGTCTGAAACACTTATGTTCTATGATAATTATTTTATACCTGTTTTTTCTTATCTATATAACTACAATATCTTTCATAAGCAATTCGAAGATCCATAAGAAACTATTTTCCCGCCAGGAGCCTTCATGGAATACCTTGTTTCTCTACTGTTACCTACTGTTACAAAATCTTGCAGATGATTTTGGTTTCAACCACATCTTATGGGTATATAGTGGCCGTCGCGGTGTCCATTGTTGGGTTTGTGATGGCAGAGCAAGAAGGTCAGGAGAAAGACTTTTGTCATATGCATTGTTGTCTTGCTTTATAATCAGAATAGTTACTAATATATGTCTCTTTCAGGCTTAGCAACGAACAACGGGCAGCAATTGCAGATTACTTCCGTGTCTATAAGGTGATTCTCTTATGATGTTTGTTCTACTATGCACTAAATTCATTCAGGCAATGTGCAATTCTGTGTTTATGGTGTTGCTTCGGTTCAGGGTGGCGAAAATAATGTGAAGAAAGTAAATTTGACGGGACCAGTTCTTCATCCCTTTCTTGCGTATGTCTTGATCTGTTTAACGTTGCATGTGTCCTCTATGTTTCTTGATTAACTTCTTTTTAAGATTTATTTCATGGGAAATGTGCTTGTTTGTGTAGACGATCTTATACGGATGTTTTAAAGGGCTTTTTTGAAGGAAAGTTGCTTGCTAGCCAAAACTTATTTGCATCTATAGAGAGATTTCAGAAGATCCTTGAAATCATACCTGACGAATGTAAGCAAACAAGAACATCAATTGATGAACTTTTTTAGTTAATCATGACAGTGTTGTGATATCATAGAAAATAGCTCTTTCCTATTGTAAAATTGTGTCCTTGTCAGCTATTGCTTCTGAGCTTCTTGACAAGTGGCAAGGAAATAGAAGATCCTCAATTTCAAAGGAAGACGTCAATGTTGTTCGATGGGAACAGTTAAAGCACGTGTTACAATCAGGAAAGCAGAAGGTTGATGTTTAGTTGTCTTTATTTAATGGTCAAATGTGACTTTACTTTTTTCTATAGTTTATTGATTTACAACTAAAAATATTCTTCCAAACCAAAAAAATGAAGTATCTGTATTAGTAAGTTCATATATCTTTAGTAAGATTGATAAACTCCAATCAACATTTTATCTCTGATCTTTTTATGTTGTGATAACTGATATAGCTGGTGGTGCAAGAAAGTACTATTGTTATTTGTAGATCATTGAATTCTTGTTGATCAGATTTGAGATACATACCAATATGAAAATATGGAACTAAAACTGTTCAGGAGAAAAAGGTGCACCATATTGGTCTTGACTGTTGCATCATTGAATGTTTTTGTGCATTTTAGATGAGCATTAGGACAATGAATATATTGGAACATTGTTTGAAACATTAGGGCAAGCATAGTAATGAAGTAATACTTTAAGGATATATATGTTAGGACATTAGGTTTGTCCAGGAAGATTGTTTAGGTGGTCTGGTTCAAAGGTAGAGGTCAAAATAATGATCACAACAGAAAAAGGGAAATAGCCAGATGACTTGTCTGAATAAGTTTATGAACACTGTATCTTAGCTCTATATAAATTTGTTTTATCTTGGTACCAATGGGAACTGAGATTTGTACGCCTTGGACTCTTGGACTTAATTTATCAGACATGCCCGATTGTCTCTATATTATGTGGACCTGGTTTTAACTTTATTCATTTACATGTTTCAGGCACAGGGGCTTCGGAGGTGTGTGGAAGAAATTATTTTTACTTATACATATCCTAGACTTGACATGGAGGTCTGTTGGTTGGTACTGTTTTGTTGCTTATGCGTGGTTCATTTCAGTTTTCACTTCTCCTGAGTTTGTGGTGATGTTAGGTATCAAAACACATGAACCATTTACTAAAGGCGCCCTTCTGTGTACACCCCAAAACAGGTTTGTGTGGAATCTTTATGGAATCACACACTGCAATTTTATAATTTCATTTGCTTTCTTTAGCTCTCTTTCTAATATTAGATCCTATAACTGTGACAATTTTCACTTGGATATCACAGGTCCATGATACAGGTTCTGATAATTTTGTATTTTTGTTATAGGGCGTGTATGTGTGCCTATTGATCCCAACAATTGTGATAATTTTGATCCTACAACGGTACCTACTCTTTCTCAGGTTAGTTTATGAATGTATTTTGTCAAATTGAATTTGATGTGGAATCAATATATATATATATATATATATAAAATTTATTTCATATGCCTTTAACTCTTGTACCAGCACTTCATGGGTTCGTCGAGTGACCCAAGTTTACGCATGAGATTGTAGACCAGCTTATCAGTTAATGCTTAACATATTTGTCTCTCCACTAATTTATCAAATAATAGTGCAATATTTGCTTATATTTTACCGTACACCAACAGCCATTTTACCATCATTTGTTTATCCTGTAATTCCTATGTTAGCCACTTCTTCGCTCATCTTAATCATCATATGAGAATTGAATATTTCATATTTGTAATTTTTGTTTAAATTATCTATAGCTATTCCACAAAGTATTGTGGTCACATAAAATAGTTCCCCTTTAAGAAAGCACTTTAGCTTCTGTCTAGAAATCCCAATTTTCCTATATAATATGATTTTATCTAATATGAACATTTTGAAACTTGATGTACTTGCAATTTGTTAATTTCTGAGTGCTGACCCATTTGCGAGCAGCTTGCCTGGACCGTGGTGTCCGTTTTGTGGATCTTGACTCTGACCTTTGGCTGAGAAGTGTCAGTTGGCTGCCAAGTTTTATTCGATATATTTAGTTCTGTTGTGCTGATCCTGTTTTGACGATAGCTTTTATGGTGTTGTGGCAAGTGCATTGAATCATGCCTATTCAAATCATGTGGGGATAAACTTAGCATGTTCAGATGTGGATATCTGATAAACTCAGTAAGTATGGAGCTTCACAGCTTCATTTGCATACACGGTCAATTATCTTAAATCTTAATATAAAATGTATGATATGTTCATATGTAAAACTTGGTGACCTTAGGCATTTAGATACGTCTTTCTTATTTAGAATGCAATGACTATTGTTGGTCTTAACAGCATGTCTTGAATGTTCTGGGGCTCCAGCCTATCCATAGTTACTATGGTCACTAGCCCCTTGTAACCATGTTGCCAGTTATGGATCCCAATGCCTGGACCATTTGGTCAAGGATCATGACAGTGCATGATTTCAATCATCTAAAGGCCTAACTCTGTCTAGCACAAAGAAGAAGAAAAGGATGAGGATTAAGTGGTTGATGCCCTTCTGCAGATAGACCAAGGGGGAGAAGAGAAGGGTGAGAATAGAAAAGCATACCTGGTTATCACCTACAATAGGTTGCTCTACATGCACTGCCGCCAATTGCTGTTGTCTGCTGTAATGTGCAACTCTCCATCATTGCACTCAAATAAATTTGGCTTTTTCCTTAAGAAGTGTGCTTGAGTAACATGTGAGACGTGGGCAAGAGAATTGAGAACTAAATTTCACGAGATAAGATCTGAATCTGGCAACTTAAAAGTTTTTTCCTTTTTTTCTGCCACGAATTGAAAAGAGAAGAAATGAAGGGGAAAAAAGGGAAAATAGAAGAAAAGAAAAGCTATCTGCAACATATCCTTTAAGTGATTTTAGTTTCAAAATAGTGTTCGTTTTAAAAAATATTCATTAAACTGTTATAAAATATCCAAATATAATCAAAGAAATATAAAATAATGTGATATCACATGACCAGCAGGAGCCACAACTAGAAGCAGTGATCTGGCTAAAACTACCCCTTTGTGCTGCATGCTAAGAAATGTATTGTATTCTGTTCTGTTTCTGTAATGCATACCATGTTGAACCACAATCCAGGTAACTATGAGCCAATCCCTTGAACAAGCTGTTCAGAATAGCTTCCTCTTAGGTTTGATTCTCATGTTGGTTTCCTGGACTTATCCCTTGTATGAGTAGGTTAATGTTTCAGTTTCAAATCAATCAATTAAAATTATTATATTACACCAGACAAACATTATGGTAAGGTCATCCTTTAAAGATTTACTTGTTATGAAAATAACCTTCTCCCACTTGGTCAAAAACCTTAGAAGCCCATCCATATATGAACTATAATTTGCTTTAGCACTTTTTCCTGCTGCTGTTTATGAAGTCTGATGATGCAATCTTCATGTGGATTTTTATAGTTTTTGTTAAAGGGAACAAATTCTAGATTAATATTTGAATTCAGAATTTTTTATGACTATTGAATTGAAGCTCTTTTGTTTCCTCAGTGGTTAAACAAAAGGTAGATGATGATAGCCAAAATTTCTAATTTTGGGCCGTTACTGATTTTGGTAGTGCAGTATACCAATTTGTACTATCGGATTTCAGCTGAAAAAAAATTAAAAACTTGGTAATTACTGAAGTTAGTCTTTGCACAGACTGGTAAATGCTGGTTGGTTTACACAATACTGACTGATATTTGAAACGTGATTCATAGTATTTTCTGTGGAAACTTAACTTGATGCACATTCTTTTGTTTATTATATTTCAGTAAACTTTCTCTTTGTAGTTCTTTGATATATGTTTTTTGGTGATGACACTTTGCAGCTTTTAGAAGAGCTTAACATGAGCGGTATGAGATCGGAGTCCGAAGATGGTAGGTGACTACTGAAAAGAAGAGTTGTACTTGTGGGTTTTCTATTAGGAATTCACTCTTAGGATCTACACGTCTATTGCCACAAATAAAATAGAAGTAATCTCTTCTAGGATTCGGTTGGCTAGTTCTTATTGCATTTCTGTCTGTGTGCTAGCATGGTATAGAACCTATACCGTTAAGACAAGTTATTCTATTACTCATGAAGACTTTCAATTTCAATTTTAACATTTTTTTTGTTGCATCTCGTGTGACAGAATGGGAAAGAACTTCACTTGGCAAGTCCATCAAATTTTTCAGATCATCATTTCTGGCCCTGCTGTTGAAATCTTGTAAGGTAATTTTTTCTCTTGCTGCCTTCTCATTTTATAATCAAATGAATATAGGGTCGATAACTTCTCTGGATACAATCTAGTTGATCAGTCGGCCTTTGCTGTGCATACAATGGCACACAGTTCTAAAATGAAGTTTTTATTGCTAAACATGCAGGTGCTTGATCAATGACTACTTTATATGGTCTTGATGAACTTGTTTTTCATTTGTCATAGTTTAGTTTGGTACAGAATCTTGGTGCATCATCTCTGGAAACCTCGTTTTTCCTGCATAGCACTATAATCAAAAGTTGGTAAAAGTATGCATATAGTAAGCTGCAAAAATAGACTATCTCCTTAAAGCTCATATCTCCTGTTACTAGACAAATCAGTTATAAATAAATAAATGTTTCTTGTTCTTCTTGCATTTGTGAAGTCTTAGTTAGCCTTTCAAAAAGCAAGTATTGATGCTGTTGCTACTGAGATACGCAGTTCTCTTAACGTGACTTTTTCAAGAACAGTTTTCTTTTCCCTTCTTTCTGCAGGAGGAGATGGAAAGTTTGTACAATTCCAAAGTCAAGCAATCTAAGAACGCACTGAATTGGTAGAATGTACGAGAGGTTTCTTGGGAAAACCTGACAGGTTTCCAACTGACCTCATTCTATGCTTCGAGCATTGTCTGCTTACTAAACTTGTGTACCAATAGTCCTGTCTATTGGATCTTGCATGTTCCAAGAATCCTTGTCAACCAACTGATAATATTTTTTGATCAATATGTTCAAGGCTATTTCTCTGTTTAGATGAAATGCAAAATGCTTTTACAAGATTAATTATTATATAATAGTTTTCTACTTGTGTACAGTTTGGTACATTTCTAATTGCTGTACTCTGCTTCCTATTTGTCTCAGTAACTTCCTCGACATGGTGGTTTTCTGAGGTTTCTGAAACTTTACCTGTTTACTATGATGACAGTTGTACCTGTTTTCAATCTCAAGACCTTGCCATCAATCATTCATGTTGCTAAAATAGGGTGCTCTTCTTCTGAAGCCATGCGAAAGAAGAAATGCTCATGCTGAAGCACAACAATTTTAGTGTGTCTGTGGAAGCAGAGCTTTGTTGTACGTTAGGACAAGTTTGGTTCAGGGAAGGAACAGCAAGTGGTCCTTTTAGTAGACCATTGGCGATCGTCCTGTAGGCTGCCTCCGTGAGGTGCAATCCGTCCCAGGAAGCGTAGCTCGATGGGTCGCTGCATAGCTTCGCCGACGGACCACCACATCCTACGCAGCATGCAGAGAGAGGCTCCTTGAAGCCTGCAAAAGGGTGCATTCCCTTCACCACTCACCTAAGCAGATCTTGTAATGGACGGTAAGAAGGAAGGAGCTCACCGAATTGCTTTGGGGACTCGAACAGCCTCATCGCGGACTCATAGTAATCAGCGTAGGCGATGGTTGCGTTGGGATGAAGCCCCCTAACCCGCTCTATCTCATCCTGCAGCAACCGATTGTGATACTGGGAGAACTCGTTCAACCATCTGATGCAGCCAGTTTTGGCGTCGTAATCGTCAAGCTTTTGGGTCTGGAACTGCGTCAGATATACTGGAACACATCCGATGGGTAGATTTCCTGGAACCACCAAATTTTTTGCACCGAGTTTGATCAAATCCTATCATCCAGAAATAGAACCGCATGGGGGTGAAAGACATGTCCGCATGGTTGCAAGTTCTCGACAAAGGATCAGGCGGAACAAGTAGGCTCACAGTGATCGCAGAGCTGATCGCCTTGACCACGCTGGGCACGAAGGTCCTGATCTCCTCCACCCGCCGATTCTGGAAGAACGGGTGGTTGTAGTCATTCCCTCCGATCTCTCCCACCAGGAACAGCGAGTTGCCCAAGATCGACGGTTCTGTCATTGCTGGTGTTCAGTCAAAGCCTTGTGATCTAACTAGATGCCATAGATGGCTGTGCAAAATTTGGTTGTTTGATGATTGATTCAGCAGTTGCTGATGGATGATGACACACATCTGCTGTTACTGCACACATCAGAAGGTGTTCAGCATGTCTTTTCTTCTTTTCTCCTACTCTCTCTCTCTCTCTCTCTCTCTCTTTCCTTGTCGTTCTTTCGCTTTAAATCTTTATTATCTTTGAAGTATTCTCTGTTATCAGTAGATTGGTTGGGTTGCTTCAAACCACTCCTTTATGCTCCAAAGGGTACGGTTCTAGAATCGTGAGTTTCGATCATCTTCTACGTCCTACGCCACCATTTGTTTCGGAGAAGGTAAAAGCAGACAAAGACGAGGGAGGATCTATGATTACCTCGGAAGATTTCCGGCAGATCACTAGATCTGACATAATGATGCGCAGGGAAATGAGCCAATCAGTGCTAACCTGAAACGGATGGTGTGGAGCGGAGAAGCTGCTTGAACCACTCGATCTGAACCTGCAGGGAGTATTCGGTCCAGGAAACATCAATCTTCTTGTCCCTGAAGAAGGAGCTGTTCAGCGCAGTGGCTCCTCCGACCGCAAAGTTTGCTCCGTGTCGGAAGTCCTCGTCGCTCCCTCCACCAAGATACGGCCGCAGCAGTGGCACTCCCATGGCTTGCGCTGAGACAAAACGTCAGACATCGTTGACGAGCAGGCAGAGGCGGACGCAGTCTTGGACGAACAACACAAAAAGAGGACCACTGACCGATGAAGTCTATGATGAGTCGGCCGTCGGAGTAGCGCCCGGTGGGGCGATGGAAGTACGTCTCACCGTACGGGAGGCGGCTCACGGCGCCAGCTGAGTCGCCATCCGAGGCCAGTATGTTTCCGGTGTCTGCAAGCGAGTCACCGAAGCTAAAGATGGATGAGTAGCAGCTGGTCACCCGATGAACGCTCAGGAGGAGGACGATGGTGATGACGACGCCAACGTGAGTCTCAGAGGACGCCATTACCCAACTGTGTGGAGGAGCAGCGTACTGCTCAAAGCCTATTACTTTATTGTTGCCAGCAGTAGCTGTCATCAGCTTTGTTTAGCCATAGTCAAATTGAGGGTCGCTGTAAGAGGAGATGAGATTCCAGCGATCCATCCATTCTCATATAAGCTTTTGACTCGGTACCACAATTGAAAGTGAGAAGAAGACTGGTTCTTTAACCGGCAGTTGTCATGGCCATAGAAAGGCACTAAGATACAGAGTCAGACAGAACAAAACAAAACCACAGCAAATATGATGACTGGCTTGGAATATTTTTTGGGATGCGTGAGAGATTAGGAGTACCAATTGAGAGGGCATGTTTTCTGCAGGAGTTCTTGCAGGAAATGCAATCATTCATGGCTACCTCCATGTCATCTACAAACGCCTACTCTGATATTGAGCAGAAACCTGAACTCGGTGGTGTAAGTGCCAATGATATCAACAGTTGAAAGAATTGGGTTCTAAATATGTGTGTCTGAGAGAGAGAGAGAGAGAGAGAGAGAGAGTATATGCAGCATCATCTGATTTCCAGATTCTTAGCACTCTTAATTAGCTGACCAAACTCACACAAAGCATTGAAAACGAGTTTTATTTGAAGGGCAAAATGATTACAAACTAAACTTAGAATTGGAAAGCATAGAATGGTTCAAATAATTGTAGAGACTCGCAGCCTTGTTTTTATTATTGCCTTATGCTTCATTCATTTCGATAACAAATCGGGTTTTGGCACTTCACTTCAATTAAAGCCTACTGGATTTCGATGGCAGGTTGGGCGGCATCTTCTTCCTTCTCCTATCAGTGTGCTTGCACAACATGGAATCCAATGCTGCCACCGCATCCACAACGTGCTTCCCTTTGTTCAGCATTATGCAGCTCGCCCTGCACATATCCATCCTTCAGATTCGGTACAATGCTGTGTAGATTATCATCAGTATCTAAGCAGTAGATTATTACCACAAGATTGCCAACTTACTTCATTGCATTCGCTACATCTGTGATCTCAGCTCTGGATGGGAACCCGGACTTGATGAGAATGTCCAAAACCTCGGTCGCCCATGTCACCGGAATGTGAGCAGCACTGCAGACGGCCATGATCTCTTTCTGGATCTCACCCAATTGATCCCACCCACACTCCACCATGAGGTCTCCTCTAGCAATCATAACCCCTATCGGGTTCGATGACTGCATCGCCTGCAGCAACAACTGAGGTAGATTGTCGACAGCTTCCCTCGTCTCAATCTTCAGCATCAGCCCCAGTGCCGGGACGTTCCTCTTCTCAAGCTCCCGCTGCACGCTGGCCATGTCGTTCGCATCCCTGATGAAGGAAATGCCGACGATGTCAGCGTTGGCGGCAACGAAGTGGAGGTCCACAAGGTCTTTGGAGGTCAGACCTCTGAGTAACTTGGTGTCGCTCTTCGGCAGGTTGATCGACTTCTTAGTGCCAAGTTTGGATCCCATTGCGTTGGCCTGAACGATCATGACTACTATCGCATTGCTGTTCTTAGCCTGAATCATACCCCAGATTTTGCCATCATCAAACGCGATCGGCTCACCTGGTTTGACGGAGTTGAAGATGTGATCACTGGAGCATGTTATGATGGTTGAATCGTGTCTGTCGTCATGGAGATCGTTCTCAGCTACGCAGCAGCTTCTAGTGAGAGTGAGCACGTCTCCTGTCTCGACTGTGATATATCTCTCTACTATGAGTATCTTCAAGATCTGCCCGGAAACCTTCTTGTCTTCCTTGTCCACCTGAAGTGTCCCACCCAAACTTATGTGAGCAGCTTCTGAACACTCCGCTACATAGCCAGAACGACAGTACTTCTCCACCACCATGACTGGTCTTCTTCCACCCGTGGGATCGACGAAGCTCACCGTGTCGCCCACCCTGAGCTCACCGAAAAGCTCTTGGCCGATGCGAAGAATGGCATGGCATGATTCGTTAGACGGAGGGCTCCTTCCGTCGCAGCACAGCCAAATCCGAGCCGGAGAAAGCATGTCACCGCTGTCATCAGATTCCGGGGAAACAACTGCGGCGATCTTATTCACCAACAGAGAGGCAGTCCTCAGCTTCGGCCCTGCGAGATCCATCAGTACCCGACATGATTTGCCCAACGATGCCGAGCTCTGTCGAGCGATCCTGACGATCTCACTCCACACGGTGGGATCGTCGTGTGCGCAATTGATTCGGATGACGTCGGCGCCAGCCTTGAGGAGATCGGCGATAAGCGTTTCGTTGGAAATGGCTTCTTTTCCTGCGGTCACCATGACATGCACTTGCCCGCTGTCTTGGTAGGGACCGAACAGAGCTGTTGCATGGGAGAAACCTCTCTCTCTCATGGCACTCGCGGCGGCCGCTCTCTCGTTTCTGCCTTCCTCGCCGGCTGTCGTAGTACCAACGGAGAGTTCCAAGAGCTGGATGATGGTGTCGATGCATGGAAGCACGCTAGGGCCTATGGATTCCAAGCTTTGGAGTCCCACAGAACAGAGGTCCTCGTTGAGCCGCTGGAGATCAAGGCACTTGAGTGCCAAATGATGGCACAAGTTCATGGCACTATCCAGGTAATTCCTGTCAGCTTCGGTTGATTAGCGTACGAAGAGGAAGGTTTATAGCACAGGAAGATGACAGACATTAATGGCCAACCTGTGGCACAGATTGAGTCGACAGAGATCTCTGTTCTCCGATGCCAATAAGCATCTGCGCACCGCCTTCAGCTCCTCAAGAATGCTTGCTAGAGCGTCAACCGGATGTGCAGAAGGCGGCTGGACATCTTCCGGTTTATGATCTACGTAATGCTTGATCGAAGAGTTGGAAGTTGACTTCTCATTGCACACGAAAGATCTGCATGATTTCTCGTACGGTTCTAATCTGCCAACATAGATCGAGTAGCTTCTTAGATTTCCCTTCATTTGTAGAGGGAAATGCTTCATCTGATACGGGAATATGATCGTGGAAGAACAGAAACTGCGACCGCTTAGATTCAAAGATAACATCTCTCACCCGCTCCACAGTTTGGACTCCCTGGAACCAGAAATAATTATATTTCCAATAATCTGAATATTATTAAGCTAACTAAGAGCAGAAAAGATATATAAAAGAAAATTAAGAATATAAATGAATAAAATCATGTCTTATACATCACAGAAAATACATCTGATGTTGAGGAAAGGGTTGCTCAGAAAAAGAGAGAGATTAAACGGAGACAATGCATTAAAACGATCAAATAAAATAGGCACATAAGCTATGCTCCCATCGTCATCGATACAAGTCCGAAGCGAAGCCAAACAATATTAGAAGCTTGGGAGAGCTACTAGATATGATCGAGTGACCTGAGTTGGTGGGACTTGGAGAAGCAGCTCGTCTAAAGCAGGCGAGAGATGTCAAACACCAGAAGCGTTCCATCCCTTTATGATGGATTCACAGAGTCTGCTAAAACCTTCACAGAGGAAGGACAGAGTCGCCTTCATTGGGTTCCTCCTGCGAATGAACAAAGCCCGTAGTTCTCATTGGATTCGCGTGAGTGATTGAACGGCGAGTAGATCCCGTCAAAACGTGTTTCATGACTTCTCATTGCAAAAAGCATGACGATATATGTTCTTACAATCGTATAAGGCAATCGTGGAGGCACCCCTAAGGAGAACTCATGGGAAGAAACTTACCGTGCATAATTTTTTAATATAATTAATGTTGACATTTCAAATATCATATAGAGGTTAATTTTATCAAAATAAAAAATAAATTAAATATCTATGAAAAGAGAAGTCAATTTGATTATTGATTCTTGAAGAGATTTATTGTAAGAGAATGATTCATTTTTAATATAATTAATGTAATGTATCTTTCGAGGCTATATAAACCTCATATATTAAAAAGTTTTGAGAGGAATATAGAAGATTTAACCTTGTCATACTCTTCCTTTGATTAATAATTATTTGATATCAAAGCATAGTTTAGCTATGGTTTTTTTCTCAAGTACCATCCAACTCTAGATCCTTATATTGACAAAAATAAATTATAATATATGGTGTATCCAAATGAAGGTTCTTCTAAGCTTCTAAGATGTATGGGAGTTCGTAGAAGATGGATATGTTGAACTAAGTCCAACAGAAGGACCAATAGATGCAGAAGTAAAAAAAGAGACTCAAAGATAAAAGGAAGAAGGAGAAAAAAGTCTTGTTCATGATCTATTACGAGCTTGATGATACAATGTTCGAGATCATCGCTCTAGTTAATATTTCAAAGGAGGCTTGAGAAATGCTTCAAAAAGCATTTGGTGGTGTTGATAAGTTAAAGAAACTTCGTCTACAACTTTTACGAGCAGAGTTTGAAAAATTACAACAAGGTATTTCTGAAACTATTTCTGATTACTTCTTAAAAATCATTTATATTGTTCATCAATGGTGACAAAATAGTCAACAAATAAGTGATCAAAGAGTAATAAAAAAAACCTAAGATCTTTAAATCTAAAATTTGATTTTATTACTATTGCGATTGAAGAATCAAAATATTTAGAAAAAATATCTTTAGAACAACTTATGGGTTCCCTTCAAATTCATGAATAAAGGATTACAAAAAGAGGATGAGATAAAACTATAGAGCAAACACTACAAGCCAAGTTTACTTTTGAAAATAAAGTTGAATCAAATTCTCAATTATGAAGAGGAGGCATAAATCAAACCACTCAAGAATCTCTAAACAATATAAGTAATAGAGCAAATTTTACCCAAAGAGGCTGATATTATGATCAAGGATGTGGCCAAGGCCGTGGACATGACAGAAATTATAAAAGCTTTGAAATACAATGTTATGTTTGTAAAAGGTATGAACATTACTCCTATGAATATTATTATAATCCTAATAATCAATGTGATAAGATAAACTTTATTGAGGAAGAAAAGAACGAAAATCAAGTTTTGCTAATGACTTATGATAATTTGAAAGAGAATCAATCTATGACATAGTATCTAGATACAGGAGCCTTAAATCACATGTGTAACATCAAAGAGCTATTTTTAAAAATGGATACAAGTTATTTCAGGAACATTATATTTGGTGATCTATCACAAAGATTAGTAAGAGGCAAAGGTAAAATTTTTCTTGAACTTAATAATGGCAAAGAATTATGCATTTCAGATGTTTATTATATTCTTGATATGAAAAATAATATTTTAAGCTTGGGATAATTACTTTAAAAAGGTAATGATATTGAGATGAAAGATATAGCTCTCTCAATTCGTGATAAAAATAAAATATTGATATCACATATGAAAAATGATAAAGAACAGAATGTTTCATCTGCATTTATATATTTTTGATCGATCAAATTATTTTAAAACTGATATTGAGAACATTTTTACACTATGACATGTTAGATATACTTACTTAAAATTTGAAGCTTTGAAACTTCTAGAGAAGTATGATATGATGATAGGAATGCCAAGAATTGATCGTCCATCAAAATTATGTGAAGCATGCGTCATATATAAGCAAAAAAGAAAGTCTTTCAAAGTTAGACGAACAAAAAGAGCATGACATCGACTTGATCTGGTGCACTTAAATGTTTGTGGCCTTATCAGTCTAGTATCACTTGGAGGAAACATGTATTTTTTTACCTTAACTAATTATCATAGTGGCAAAACTTTGTTTATATGTTAAAAAAAAAGAAATTTTTTTAAGCAAATTTAAAGAATTTAAGGATTTGGTTGAAAGACAAAGTGGTTGTAAGATTAAATGTTTAAGAACAGGTGGTGAATATATATCAAATGAATTTAAAAATTTTGATAGAAATAATGAGATTTTATATCAATTCATTGTGCTATACATACCTCAACAAAATAGTATCTCAAAAAGAAAAAATAGGACTATACTTAATATGATCCGATGCATGTTAAAAAAAAAAAATTCCTAAAGAATTTTGAGGAGATGCTATTACTTATGCAGTTTATTTACTTAACAGATTTCCTACAAGGCAAATTAATAATTTTACACTAGAAGAAGTATGGAGCTTGCAAAAATCAAGAGTTGATCCTTTAAAAAATTTTGGAAGTATTGCATTTGTCAAGATACTAGAAGAAAAGAGATAAAAAAGAATTTTGCTAGGTTATGCAGAGAATTTCAATGATTATAAACTCTACGATCCTTTCACAAACAAAATTGTGATGTCAAGAGATGCTGAGTTTGATGAGCAACAGATTTGGAACTAAAAAAATGATGAGCAACATAAGAAAGCTATAGCTTTAAAAGAGGATAATATAATACAAGCAAACACTAAAGTGGCTTTGCCGGAATCATCACCTAGATTAGCTAGGTCACATAATTCAAAAAGTCTGATTATAAAAAAGATAAGATCGATTTAGGAGCTATATGATTTGACTTGAATGATTGATATTAACAATGATGATTTTTTTTATTTTATTTTTTTACATGATATGATCCATTAATCTTTAAGAAACTTGTAGAAAAAAAAAATGACGACAAGCTATGAACGAGAAGATTCATGCTATTAATAAAAATGATACATAAGAGCTTACTACACTTCCAGAAGACCACCAAATAATCGGTGTTAAGTGGATCTTTAAAATAAAAAAAAAATACAAAAGGCGAGGTGGAGAAATATAATGCCCGATTGGTTGTAAAGGGATACAAACAACAAAATGGATCGACTATGAAGAAGTATTTACACCGGTTACTCAATTGGAGACAGTAAGATCACTTATCTCTCTAGCAGTTTAAATGAAATAATTTTTTTTATAAATTAGTGTCAAATCAATATTATAAAAAGGTTAGATGTCAAATTAGCATTACAAATGGAACAAGTTTGAAGGGGAGAATGTTAGAATTAAACTTTTCCAAGTATTATAAATAGGTTAATTTGATGAAAAAAATAAATTAAATGTCAAAGGAGAAATTGACTATTAGTTTTTGAAGGGATTTCTCGAAAGATAATGATTATTTGGGGACTATATAAATCCCGTATGTTATGTTAGATTATGAAACATATAGAGTTTCTAAAATTATAAAAAAAATTAAGAAAAATATAGAAGATTTAATCTTGTCATACTCTTTATTTGTTTAATAACTCTATTTTTTTCTTCCTAGTTTAACAATTAAGAATCGAGAGAAAATGATACGAGAAGTCACATGTCGTGGGGCTCAAAACGTCGGTGGGTTTGCGTGTAGGACGAGCTCTTTTGTCGGTGTCGACTCCAAGCAAGCAGGTTACGAGCATTTCATTCGGCCAAGAGAGCACACAATGATCACAATCGGAAACACACACCCTCTCCTTTTCTTCTTGGTTAAGTAAAGGAAATTAAGAGAAGCAGCTTTTTTTCTGTGTGCTATGCCATCATATGTACGATTGGAGATTTATGTCGATAATTATTCCAATATTAGGAGTTTCCTACAGCAAATTCCGCCGAGGATCGGTGACATGACATGTGGTTTTTCTCAGAACAAGCTAAGAGATTCTTGCCGATCAAAGTTAAGCTTTAGACTATGAGAAGAAATGTAAGGATAAATAGGGTTTGATCCTAAAATATTTCTTTCTATTACCCGTCGAATACTTCACATTCAAGTTTGCTAACGTTGAAAGAATAATAAATAATTCGATGAAATGGGAACAATCTTTGCCTTACACGCCACAATTTTTTTGTCTCCTCATCATTCATACTACTTGTATTCACGCGATGTGGCGGCTCACCGCGTGACCAACGAGACAAACCGTGTGTTGAAGTGAACGAAGCCTCCCACCGGTCTCTTCCTCCATAGATCTCCAACAACACCCTCTCTCTCTGTATAAATATATCCCACGCACACCATCTTACTCTTCAACAAAAGCAACTCCTCGACGCTTCTCTTCCATATCAGCAAACGACATCACCGGTCTCTTCCTTGCTGTTCTTCTGAGTACTTGCTATAAGGCCATGGCTAAGAAGAAAGCGGCGTTGCCCGGTCGCGCATGGAGGCTGTTGCGCATGGCGCTTCTGTGGGCGCGCAAGGGTGGCGTGTTCAAGCGCGGCATCTTCGTCGACCTCCGCATCGTCCCCGGCTACCTCAAGAGCCTCAAACCCGGCGGCCGCGGATCTGACAGGCTTCACTTCGGGGAGCGCGAGTTCTCCTTCGAGGAGACGCCGGCTTTCCGCTTCAAGACGCCTTCCGTGCGGCTTCTCCGCATCCCCTGCATCACTCCGGCCGGGGACTTGGATACGGAGGACGACGATCTCGTCTTCGCCAAGCTTGACAGGAATAGTTACTTACCGGATAAGCATGAGGCGAAAGAGGCGAGCGAGATCGGCTGCGAGGATGACGACGACGACAATGCGGCACGGGAATGCGAGGATCACGCGGGGATGGAGGAAGAAGATGAGATCGACAGGAAGGCGGAGCAGTTCATAGCAAAGTTTTACGAGCAGATGAAGATGCAGCGGCAGATCTCATGGCTTCAGTACAATGAGATGCTCCTCAGAGGCGTGAATTGATTGATTTGCTTGGCTCGGAGTCACCATACATCATATATCCTGTTTGATTTGTTTTGTCTTTGCTGGTGGATCTTTTCGTTGCGGCGTCGGTGTAAATATTAAGAAGCGGAATTTGGTTATATTCTTTTTGTTTATCTGAATAAAAGACTTCATTCTTTTTTATTGTGCGGAGCTAATTGGGATTGTGAACGATATATGTTCCCTAAAGAAGAGCAAAGTAAAGTATTATATATTGTGAAAGAGATAAAATTGAGGTAATAGTATTTATATATGTTTTGAGAGAAATTTCTTCTCTCACGAATAATTAAATCAGTTATTTAAATATAATATTATTTTTATTATTATCGATAATATGTACGTAAGAAACACGTAATTGATGTTTGATAACTTGAACTCGAATGAAATAAAATTCGATGATAATATGTTTTGTTGGTGAGTGAAACAATGGATCGAGATAAAATTAAAAGAATGAAATGTTTATTCAAAAACATAAAATTAAATCATGCTTTTGCAGTAGACCTGTCAAAAGCTCTCCTACATATATCTATATGAAAGCTCTTAATATCTACACCGACGCCGCAACGAAAAGATCCACCAGCAAACACAAAACAAATCAAACAGGATATATGATGTATGAAGACTCTGAGCCAAGCAAATCAATCAATTCACGCCTCTGACGAGCATCTCGTTGTACTGAAGCCATGACATCTGCCGCTGCATCTTCATCTGCTCGTAGAACTTTGCTATGAACTGCTCCGCCTTCCTGTCGATCTCATCTTCTTCCTCCATCCCCGCGTGATCCTCGCATTCCCGTGCCGCATTGTCGTCGTCGTCATCCTCGCAGCCGATCTCGCTCGCCTCTTTCGCCTCATGCTTATCCGGTAAGTAACTATTCCTGTCAAGCTTGGCGAAGACGAGATCGTCGTCCTCCGTATCCAAGTCCCCGGCCGGAGTGATGCAGGGGATGCGGAGAAGCCGCACGGAAGGCGTCTTGAAGCGGAAAGCCGGTGTCTCCTCGAAGGAGAACTCGCGCTCCCCGAAGTGAAGCCTGTCAGAGCCACGGCCGCCGGGTTTGAGGCTCTTGAGGTAGCCGGGGACGATGCGGAGGTCGACGAAGATGCCGCGCTTGAACACGCCGCCCTTGCGAGCCCACAGAAGCGCCATGCGCAACAGCCTCCATGCGCGACCGGGCAACGCCGCTTTCTTCTTAGCCATCGTTTTACAGTTGTTGCAGTAGTTTAGAAGAAGATCAAAGAAGAGATTGGTGTTGTCGTTGATGATTTGGAAGAGAGAGAGAGAGAGAGAGAGAGAGAGAGAGAGAGAGAGATCTAGTCTGGCTTTGGTGAAGAGTAAGGTGGAGCGGGTGGTGTTTCTATATGTAGGGAAGCTGATCAATGGAGACGCAGACGCTCCAGAATCATAGAAGTGGGAAAGAAATGGAATGGGATGCTTCCTATATTACATCATACACGGTTTGTTTTGTTGTCCACGCGGTGGACGACCACATGAATTGCGCACACATTTCCTTACAGAGACAGCATATATGCAATTTTTTTTTTGGCTCTAAGCTGAAAGCTTAGTCCTTTAGAACATCCACAACAATCCATCCCATCGGTGACTAAAGCAGTGTGATCCGCGAAGCATAGTTGCTAATATGAGATGAATGCCATTGGATGGAGCTCGTACAGCAATGCCAGTCTAAGTAGAAGGCCAGCAACCATTAGTACTGACAAATCTCCGAAATATGAGCTTGCCCAGAAAAGGAGTAGAATGACACCGCCGTACACGGAGCTCGTGCCCACCAACTGCTCGATGTATTGACAGCTACGGAAACCGCCGGATTTGGCGCATTCCTACGTCGAATGACACCCCAAACGTCACATTACGCTGCTCCAACGCTGCTTCGCCCGCGGTTGCTGTCCTTGACCTACCATGCGTTGGCAAGCTCACGACTTTTGGGAGCCGCACCCACCATGTCTGGTTTGTAGAGACGTTGATACCTGTAGTGCATGCCACTCTATCTACCAATTCCATTAGCTGTTTCTTGTCCTCATGCAACAAACTCGTTGTTCTTGTATTGAATGCGATGATGATGGAGTTGTATGCCTCGATAGAGTGGAAATGACTTGATGGAAACGGCACACATAAACAATTGTATATTGATGCTGACTTCTCTTTTTATATCCTTAATCAATTGTATATTGATTTATTTCTTTCTTTCATGATTGATATATATTTTTGACCGAGAGCAGAATAAAGCCTCGTCTTCCCATATGATCACTTCCAAGTGAAAAAAACAAATCATATACTCTACAATAGTAAAAGAAAAATATCACATGTATGATAGATAGTAAATAAGATCAAGTTTGCGAGATTGTCTCAAAAGTTACACTTAGCTCATTAAAAAAAAAACTCCTAAAATAACAAACTGAAAATTTTGAGATACTAACATGAAATTTGATTATTTTGGATGATAAATAAATATTGAACTTTGATCACCTCAATCACATTTAGTTCAGTTTTTACACCCGTTAATCTGATGTTGCTAAATGTGAGTGCAGTAAGGCTGCATTGGATTTTACTTTTAATTGTAGCAAAGACTGCCCAACCTTAAGCTTCCATTGTTCATCCAAGCAATGAACAATGCTGCAAGCCATATAAATGCTGACAACCAGAATTGATTAGACCTCCTAATAGAAACATAAATTAGCATCAAAAGATGCAGATTGTTTGACCTCAAGCTTCCTTTTTGCACTTTTTTTGTATGAGAAATAAATAGGGTATGACTAACTGGTGTAGATTTCTTGAGATGTAGTATCAGATGCAAATACTTGACCTTTATACCAATGAAGAAGAGAGATAGATTTAGGAACATTATAAACACTAGGTTAATAAACTACAATGCATTTGATCAGATATAGTCCCAATTAGCTGTTTTATTTATGGGATTTTCTTAATTCTAATAGTAGGAGACATATCCTTTTTCATATAGAATAAAAAGAGAGAATTCTAACTGAGTTAGGAGGAGAAATGTTTAGTCATTAAGAAACTAGTCTTAATTGATGCAGAATTGGAGGTAACCAAAAGAGAAATTATAAATAAAGATTCTTAATGCGATCATTACCGAAATAAAAAATCGATCAGTCGAGGCTTGAATGCAACTCAACTTGATGGATGGTTCTTTTGAGATCATACACAATAATTTCATATCAATTTTAATATTTGAACAATGAGGATTATAAAGGGAATAAAATGTTGATGAATTTTGGATCACTGATAATTGATAACAGTGAGTTCGATATCCTGTCGAACAGTATGATCGAGTTCCTTGCAAGATGTTGTTGTTGTTGTCGTTTCAATGGTTATCGCAATCCTACCTCTAAATCTAGAGAGAGGGTTTGTTCTTCATCCACAAAAGTTTCATCATAAGCAGTAGCTTTGATCACTATGCACGAAGGAGTGACAAGCATGAAGTACAAACACGTAATTGGAGTCTCATCTTTTCCAAGAAGATGAAACCAGATAGCTTCAGAGAAGAAGGACACAGCTAATGACGAGCATCATCAAGCAGACGGGAACGACGAGCCTGTTTCCATCATCACAGTACACATCATAGTCATCAGGGTTGAAGTCGCCTGCGACCAACAAATAAACACTTTAGAGAGAGAGAGAGAGAGAGAGAGAGAGAGAGAGAGAGAGAGAGAGAGAGAGAGAGAGAGAGAGAGTTCTCTTAACCAAGAGGATATATGGCGCTCGGTCCTGCAATTACATGGAGAGGAGACGGCACACCTGACTCGCCATAGGTCGTGGATAACCAAAGCACAGCCAGGAAGAAGTAGCAGCAGCGCTTGAGAGGGATGAAGGCAGGCATCATTATTGTCATGCCTTCAAGCATGTAAGATTGAGGGATGGATACACAAGATCGAACAAGCTTCCTATTAAAGGCTCGTGAGGTACAAAAATGTCAACCATAAATCTACCTAATTCATTCTTTCATCAGTTTGATCTTTACATGCCTTTTGGTGAATAGTCCATCCACTCTTTTTTTATGGTCATTTTTCAAACTAGAAATGAGAAATTGATGAGAAGGAAAGTTGATGCGATGAAATAGATTCAAGAGAGATGAGACTGCTTTACCAATGTGATTCAGATAGGGTGGTTGGATGGTGTGTTTCTAGTTCTAGTTCATGAGATGGATAGGATTTGGTGGGGAAGACTGATGAACAACATTCTTGACTTAATAGAATGATTACAGCAGACACCATTACCCAAACCACCACAGTGTTTCTTGATAGATGATGGAGAAGCCTATCTCATCAAACCTAAATCCCACATCAAGCATGCCATGCATTTTGAAACTGGCCAATATCTTAATTAAAGTATCTGTTATATACACACAAGGGTAGATTGATAAAAAGCTATGGTAAAATACCCACCGGTACCAATAACTCTATAGATAAAGTACATTATATAGTCCGTTTTAGAGATTGACGACTTACCCATTTAGTGACTTTGGCACTGGACGTTCCCAAAATGGATCGAGTGAATTAGAGAATAGATAGATGTTTGTTGGAGACAGACGTCCATTGGTATTTCGGCCTTCCTTCTCCTTTCAAGACCTATTCGAAAAATAATTTAGTATCTCTTGATCGTGAATATCTGAATAGGACGAATTGGCCTCCATAAATTTTATTCTCTTTTCTTTTTTTAATAATAAGTGATGAATACGAGATCCAATTTCACAATATTGTTATCTATAATCAAAGTTTTTATCAATTAAATTAGTTGTTATCTTCAGAAAAATATAAGAATAAAATTGTCAACCGTGACATTTAGTGAGTAGATCGATTATACTATCACCAAACTAAACTATTTTTTTAGATATAAGAAATATCTAAAAAATAATATAAAGTACAAAAGTCAGTAATAAAAATAATATTTTATGATATAAGACCAATTAATAGAGAATTCTAATAGAGGATTAGTGACAACCTTTTATTCCTAGGATATGAGAATCAATTATCTTAATAGATGCATAAAATCGAAGGTAATATTATTGCCCTCTAGTGTATAAATATATTGTACCTCACATGAATAAATTATCGATCTTTCATAATAAATCTATTCATTTTAAATATAAAAAAATATTACAAGAATCAGATACACCACAATCAACTAAAGTTTAGTTATAAATCTTACGGATTAAGATTTTATTTACTAATATTTAAGCATCCATATTATAATCTCACCATAGATAAAACTTGGGCCTTTGACTCAATCCCGGTCACCAGCCCTATTTGCATTAGGATCTTATCGACTATAAATCGTAGTCAATAAAAGCACCAAAACTGCTGCTAGGAAGCCACTAAAGTTAGTAGGATTTGGTTGACCATGAAACCATGACACAGAGCCAATAGAGTTATTAGAATTCAAATACAGATCCGAGCTTAATTAAGTACACTTCCCCTCATGTGCACCCCTCACCCATCGACACCTGCCAAATTGCACTCCCCCAAGTAAAAGAAACCCTCACAATGTCCACTTTTAGTCCTTTACGTTCTCTCTCTTAGCGCCTAAATTAATCTCAAGATTCATATGCTTTCACGCTCCCACATGCATCCCATCATCATCCCCACTCATTTGTTCTATTCTATTCTTGTCCCCGATAGTTCCAACTGCACCTACGTTCCCCCCAAAGCATCAGATCTATGACCGAGTCATCCTTCCCACTTCATTCTAAGCTTGGCGTTTTGGTGATCGGAAGATGTTCTTCCCTGTCATGAGATTACAATAATGAAGTCGCTATGTCACCTGTAAAGAGGAGAAGTCATATGCATGTATAGCCAGAGTGATAGATATATGAACTATTATTCAATGGGCATTTGGATCGGCCAAACGACATGCCTAACCTTGTGATCTGTCTCACCTTGAAAAGTACTGGTGGTGGGACTGCGTTCTTACTTGTTTGAAGTTTTCTTTAATGTATTTCGCACGCAGCATTTGTGGAAAGGAGACTTCGATATGTTCATACGAGATTTCCTTCGAATGGATCATAAAAGTAATCAGACAGTTCCATAAAACCAAAAAATATTATATTATATTATACAAAGTTGTAGTAGTATGATATCGGTTTTCAGATCAATGATTATTATTGTTATTATTATTATTATTATTGTATCTTATCAGCAGCATTCATGTGTCAAATCAATGTATTATATAGGGACTGTAAGCTATCAATGGGTACGTAAGAGATGCTTCCCAAACATGCATGGAGAATCTCCCAAGCTCCGTTAGACTTTAATCAAGTGAAGTCAGCGATACTGACCTTTCCACTGGTCTTCCACGTCCATCGACAGCTGGCAGACATCTTAAAATACTCAGTGCAAGAATCACCACAATGTGTTGCTTGTTCGACACAGTGGACTGTGCACACTGTGATGTCCGACGATCCCTTGCCAATCAAAAAGTATGATCCCGTGATAGGCAAGTCAAGGATTTGACCATTGAGCTTTCATGTGTTTGGATGAGGTTTCCCACTGTCTGACTCCTAAACAACACATTACGAACATAACAACAACCTATCATCGTTCAAAATTTGCTCTCTAAGTTCCAAAACACTGTACAAATCAACTTCTACTCTTCATCGACTCACTTCACCGGAATTGCTCCATGGCAATGCATGCTTCCCGCCTCCGCCGTGTCGCGGCAAAACCGCCTTTGGAACACCCCCGCCGCAGCCACGGCCGCCTTATTTGGCACCTCTGACCCACCACCCGCCACCGTGGGAATTGATGCTGCAACTTGAGCTGCAGCCGCCACTGCCACAGCCACCTTCTCCTCGTTCATCACCGTCGCCTTAATCCTCGAGTACCCTTTCTGCAGCATCCGGTATAATACCATGGCCGACATCTTCGCCTGATCCCTCACGCCGTCCGGATCCCGGTGATCATCCGCGAACTCCAACCGGGCCACGAACGCCGTCGCCTTCTCCGGCTTATGTCTCAACGACAGAAGCAAGTACGCACGCTCCAACTCCGACCTCGTGCAGCCGTGACGGACTCCGATCAAAGCGTGGTAGTCCACGTCGATGCAGCCCCCCGCGGCCGCGACTTGGCACCGCAGCTGCTGAATTCGCGCGGCGAGCGCCCGGTGCTCGACGGGGATGTCGCGGTACCGGACGCCGTGGTGGGGACGCCACGGTGGGCCGGGAAGCTTGCCGTCGCGGAGGATGGAGTCGTAGAGAAGCTTCAGGTGGTCGAGGTCGCTGAGGCTGTCGGGGAGCGCGCCGACGGCCTCGAGGAGGTCGGCCCGGGCGCGAAGGGCCGGGACGCAGAAGGGCTCGACGGCGAGCGCGCGGTTGCAGTCGGCTATGGCCTCGGCGAGGCGGCCGGCAGCGCGGTGGGCAGAGGCGCGGCCGACGAAACAGCCAGCGGCGAACGCGGCGGGGACGCCCCGCCGGCCGTCGAGGACCTTGGAGAACAGACGGCTGGCTTCCGCCGGGACGCCGGCGTCCAGCGCGGCCACGGCGGCGGTGGTCCGGCGGAGAAGGAGCTTGATGTGCGAAAGGAGCTGGGAGGCGGATTCCAACTCGGTAGGCATCGGAGCAGCGCCGTTCCCTCCGGTAGAGGCGGTGGAGGAGACGAAGCTGTCGTCCGACCAACAGACGGACCGGCGTCGGGAGGCGGCGGCAGCGAGGCGGCGGCCGGCCTGGAGGAGCACCATGGCGTCCTCCAGCAGCCCGAGTCGGCAACAAGCGTGGCCGAGGACGAGGTACCTGAGACCAAGAACACAACGTAACAGTGAGGTAAGTTCACAGGCCGGTGACCCTATTGAATGGAGCAGCAAAAACAAACCGAAGTCGAATGCCTATGGTAAAGAAAGAGACAAAGTTGTTCGAGGAAACGTAAAGAGATGTCCTGCTTCATTTAAAGATCCTTTTGCCTTCCATTGCTTGAAACTTCGAGGAAAGGGGTTGGGTCGTATTCAGCTGCAACCAATGGAAGCTGTCTCAAAGACTCCATCAGAGTAACGAAAGAAAAGGAAGAGAGAGAGAGAGAGAGAGATTATGGAAAGTTGACCTAAACCACAGCAATAATGGCTGAAGGACTATGGTTGCAGTGCTTCTTGTTTTTGAGGGCCAAGAACCCCATGACTCTTGAATGAAGAACCAAAGAAACATGGAAAGAAGAGGGATATGGTCTAATTTCTTTCTTTCAAGGGAAAGAGACAAATGCATTACTTGGGAAAGATGACTCCACAACTCTCTGAAACTACAAACCAATTACTTTATGGGATGTTTGAGGTTATTAGTGCATCTCATCATTGCGGTAAACGTACCTCCAATGGCCTTCGTCGCCGGAGCTCTTCGAAAGGCCCGCCAAAAACTTGCGCTTGAGATCCGAGACGGAGAAGCAGCGAAAGAAGAGGCCGCCGCCGGACCCCTCGCCGCCCGGAGAGAGCAGCTCACGGTTGAGGGGGGCGGAGACGGCGGAGCCGAGGGAAGTGGAGGAGTCGTTGTCGGCGGCGGCGGCGGCCATCTTGCAGCTCGGGATGTAATCTTGGAGCATGTCCGCCACCTCCCGGAAGCGGCGGAGGAAGAGGAGGGAGCGGGCCTTGAGCTCTAGCGCGGCCTCGTGGAGCGGGGAGACCACGAGGGCGGCGTCGAGGAGGCCCACGGCGGTGGAGACCTTGGGCAGCTCCCGCGTCGCGACGAGAGAGCGGGCGTCCCGGAGGTACTTGCGGACGAGCTGCGCAGGGTGGGAAAACCATTCAAAGATTAGATCTTGACGCATGGATCCTTCAGCAAAATGGCTTCCGAAACAGAGCACGAGGAACCGAAAACAGAAATGTAGGAGAATCTGCGAGGGTTCTACTGAGAGAAGAAGAGAAAGCAAGGGCCATGAACTCTTCAGTTCTCGTTTTCCTTTAGTCCTTTTTCTTCCAAGAGAAACTTACATCAGAGATGGAAACATGGACAAAGACCAGCAGGGAAGCGAAACCAATGCAAAACAGAGCAATAAATGCATTGCCCCTCGTCGAAGGAAATCGAACAGAGAAGACGCTTGAAAGGAGAGCACGGCCACCACCATCAGGTCTTTACCTTCCTGTTGCTCAGCCACCAGCGCGTCTTCTCCTCGGCCAGAGAAGACGAGGTCGCCATTATCCCCAGCGCATCAACTTTCCTCCCCCAAACTCTAGGCGACTCAAACACCGCCAAAACCCACTAAAGGCCTCACCTTTCCCTCGTCTGAGCTCGGAAGCCTCAAATGGCACCTCAAGTCGAAGAAATAGAGGAAAACAACGCCACCACCTCTCTCTCTCTCTCTCTCTCTCTGCCTTTCAAACCAAGCTTCGAGCCCTCACCCTCCTCGCTGGCAAATTATGACCTCTGTCTTCCCCCGCCGAACTCGAGAGACGGATTTATAGCAGCAAGAAATCTATGGAACAAAAACAAAAGCTGACGCAGAAAAGAAAAAGAGATATATATATATATATATATATATATATATATATATATATATATATATATATATCTCTCTCTCTCTCTCTCTCTCTCTCTCTCTCTCTGGGGACACAGTCACCATAAGTACGTCACCGGCTCCACAGCAGGGTGGTGGTGACATGGTCGTGATAGGTATAACACCAGGTCACACTCTTCGGCCAGCTTGGGCAGGAAGCAGGCGGGCCCCACCTCGGGTCTTTAATGTTGTGGGGATTGGTTTGATTATACCGCGCGAGTGTTGATGGCGTAAATTAGCAAATTCCTCATATTCCAATATTATATTTATTTCATTCATGAAAGAAATTGATAAGGGATTGATGATCATTTTTAGATTCTCGTAGGGTATATGAAATTATTTGTGTGGGAAATTAAAAACTAATATTGTCCAAAGATTTGAGGGGTTGGAACGCTTGTTGGATATGATTTATTCGAACAAAAAATCTTAGTTATTAACCAAAGATTCGAAATGTGAGAATAAGAGAATGATAAGAGGAATATTTTTAGATTATGGAATACAGACTTGGTTGATTAGAATCGGTGTATTATTAGTAATCATATAAATATATATGAGGAAAATATTTTTATTTCATGTAAAAATATATAAGAATAAAGATGGAAGAATATATGCATTAGCTTTCATCCAAAAATTAATAATTTAAACTTTTAGATTATATTAGTATCTAATTTTATGTATGTTAAAACTTTTAGAAAAATATAACCTATTTTATCTGAGTTTTTGAATCATTTAGTGTCGCTAATATGATTATTGAAGTATAATTCTTTTTATCAATAAATAAATAAATATAAAATTTGATAAGATAATTGGTCTATTAATTTTGTTGGATCGGAACTATTAATCCAAAAAGCTTAAGTTAAAATTAATAATAGAACACTCCAATATAATTCATAATCATATGATTGATGTATTATTACCTTTGTAAAATATCTATAAATCACCCACAGGGCTAAATCAAAATCATTACATATGGTGGGCTCTAACTCATGTAATGTATGTTACTGTTCATGGACATCCTAAAACTAAGCTTAAAGGAATTAGCTAATGGCTAAGTATCCAACGTGTGAAACCCAGTCTTCTTGCCGAGGAAGGAGGAGCTGCCACTTCCATTTATTGGACACTGAGTGAGTTGGCCTCATTTAATGAGGACTATGTATGGCTCCATGTAGAGAGAGACTCCACCTTCTCCAACAAAACAAAGAGAGGAGGCGCATGAGGACATGTAACCTGCCCACCCAACCATGGAAGGGAACCCTACCGTCACCAAATCCTTGGTCAGAGCGCCCATTGGACCCATTGGGGCCTTCCTCCTCTTCTTAGGTAGCTACACTGAACGCAAAGGTGGCAATAATGGCCGTGCCCTACCTTCCCCGGCAGTGAGGACTTTCTCCCACATACCCATCCCTGGTCTTCTGTGTCCTCCAATTAGATGCCGTCCCCTGACGTTTGGATTCGGATGATCGAAGCTTACTTGCACGAATCATTTCTGGGAGCAGTAGGACTTTGACTTTCGAGGATGCTGGCATGCTGAGCCCATCCTTGTTTTCTTTCTTCTTTTACTCTGAGAGGTGATCAGAGTAGGAGACGAGAGGACATGGCGGACGACTTCTGTACGCTTCTCACGTGAGCTATCGTACCACACAGACAGTGGTGCGTCGAGAGTCCTCTCTCCCCATCTTTCTTCTCCCTCTAGATTGGGTGTGAGGAAGTAATTGACCAGTTGGTGAACCTATGATTTTTCTTATTTTTATTAAAAACATATATATATATATATTAAAGAAATAAGAAATGATCACAAGGTGTTTGGTAGGTATCAAACGACTCCACCAACCCGGTAGATGCAGAACTAGCAACAATGTGAGAGAGAGAGAAAGAGAGAGAGATCCCATGAGGAAATCAACATCTTTCTCGAGGAGTTGCGGTCACTCGTCAGTCTAATTGCTGAACAGTAGTAATTGTCTCTTCTTCTCTATCAAACATTCTAAAACTTACCTTGTCACGTCCCACCAATATCATGTTCAATATCTATATTCTCATTGCATAGAAGATTCGTTGAGTCATATATGATGAGATCTAACGTTGTCTACTAAGAGTGATTAATATAAATATAAAAATTATAATCATATGTAAAAAAAATTAATGTGAAGAATTAAAATTAGATAATCATAAATTGAAGTTTAGATATAAAATATATTTCTATACCATTCAAAAAAATTATTTAATTTGTAAGCATATTCGTTATATGATCAATAAGCATACCATCATCTAATCCGAAGATTATAGTGATATCGATCTGTAAAGAAAATTAGATTTGTCTTTACCTCTCTTCCTATGATGAAATAGGGACTAAAGAAAGATTACAGAAAATTTATAATTATTGCCATGTATTGATTTCCTAAAAGATACTACTTGTAGATCATCTAAGATAAGTAATTAGGAGATTTTCTATTAAGAAATTATATCATAATTGTATTTCTTTTCTATTGATCGATAATGATATCCAAAATATAATCAGATATATAATATATCTTACCTCATTAAATAAAATCATATAATCTAACAATTAATATTATAGTGAAATAATAATTATCGTGATCCAAGCTCAAAATCCCTTAGATCAAATTTAAAAAATGAATGCTTAGAAGTTATTCTTTTAATTATTATCACTTTATATAAGACCAATACAAAATTCTCATTATTCATGTGTGAGGATAGTGACTCAATACAATATTTAAAGCCATACTATTTAATTAACATGAGATTATTTTAAAATTATAGAAAAATATTCATGTGTGAGAGGTGGATATCATGATTAGTTTTACATTGATATGGATTGAAAAAAAAATCAAATAATATATATTAGGACTGATCCATGTCCATTCACGAGGCCTCTCTACTACCTCCGTCGGAGCAACCACCTAGGTGCTAGTATACGAGCTAACCATGAGCTTGGAAGTGAGTTCACAATGATTCTTATGGTTGGTGAAACAACCCCATGAGCATGATGCCAACACAACATTATTTGGCTTCAATAGTAAAATTGATGATCCCTGGTGCTTCTTGCCCAAGGGCTTCTAGGAGAGGACCCAAAGCCTTAGATCTTGTGATCCCTCACTAGGCTCCTTATTGTCCTCGGCCATACCACTACCAAAAAATTTGTGATGCACTATGAATGGAACTTGGTGCTAGAGGGCCTCATGCATGACATGCCACTAATCAGGTTACCGCTCTACATAGAGCAGAGATGAATATGATGATGCTAGCAGAGGACACAAGTGTGATGCTACGATCGTAAATGGGCAAGGGTAGGCTAGTGCATTAAGAGGAGACAAGAGCCATTCCTCATCCTCTCCCAGCCAATGTTAGCATAAAATCTGTAATCATGCTATCTGTAATGCGGAAAAACTTTTATGCCAAAATTAAAATAAAATAAATTGGATCTAACAATATTACGATACATACCTTTCTTGTTGTTCAAAAGAATAAACCTTATCTGATCTATAAGCGCTTCATCTTCTCAATCTGTAAGGAGAACTAGATCCTTCTCCTCTCTTCCTATCTTTTCATAGGACCACCTAGATTGATGGATTTGGGGATTAGGGGAGAGGGAGATTGAGAGAAAAACCTTAATCTCTCAATTACTGAGATGCTACTCAGATGCCCACTTAGCCCCTAGAGGTCTTGTCTATTTATAGGTGAGAGCAGAGAGTCTAGGATAAGTTATTAGGAGAGTTCATCCCATCAAAGTTATCTCCTAAGGAATTCTACTTTAATATGGACTTCTTTTCTATTAGCCAATAACCATAATTAGACTCCAATCATATCTATAATATATCTTACTTAATTAAATAGGGTCACATAATCTAACATTCTCTCATTAATTAATAAGATACAAAAGGATTTAAAATCAAAATTAAATAAATAAAATTTATTTAAAAAATAATTTGACTAAATTAGATTATGAAATTTTAGAAAAACTATATACACGCGCATGAATTTTAGAAAATAAGCTAATAAGTCCAATAATAATAATACATTAAGTCTGACTAACAATATGAGTCATAGCGGTTGTATGCCATTAGTGTCATATTTCCTTCTATGTACCACAATACTGTTAGCCTTTCCTAATGCAGTCCAAAATGACCCTTATAATTTGTCTTATCAAGACAATCCTATCATCACATTCAACCATAATATGTACATACATAATTGTGAACATGATAGCAGAAATAAATAACTTTAAGTATATAAATAAAAATGTCAATTATAGTATCCACTCAAACATGCATCATCATATCCTTTATGGGTTGCTCACAAACCCAATCATAAGAATATGTTCTTTCAAAATACTTTAGACTATAAGTCCTAAGTGAATAAATCAGCAATCAATATAGTGGAACTCAAGTAATTAATTGACATTAGATGTTTCTGGACTCATCTTCTCTAACCATTGAGTACTTTATACCATAATGCATATAAGTGCAATAGTACTTGTCATTCTTAGAGAAGAAAACTACTGCAATATCATAAAATATCTTCAACGACTTGGTAATTGAGTCTAACTACACCAAGTCCTGAGATAAAAATTTTACAGTTAAAAATTTGATTAGTGGCCTCAAAGTATGCCACAAAATCAACTTCTATTATTAATAATAATAGATTGTCCCTCTAATTGACATACATATTAACCGTAAGGTGGACTTCCTATTATCAAGGTAATTTATATAATCAGCATATGAAAAATACCATTATTTCAAGCTGATATAATTTCATACGTGTGAGCATATAATCCTTTGTCCCTTCCGGATATCTTAATACTATCTCTGTAGTCCTTTAATTTTTTTACTTCTGGGTAACTCC